CTATATTTACAGCTCTATATAATAACCTAATTTCGTCAATGGGTCGAGTTTACACCACTGCTTTCTTCTATTACCCATCAGACACCGTAAGCAGGTATCGTCTCAACTAACAGACACAATCAATTCCTATGACATCTCCCAGTGCATGAGCAAGATCATCAGGAGACATTTATGTCGTCTCCGAATTCTTTCCTAGACACTTATTTTTGTAAGGAACATAAAACAAGTAAAGAGAAACATGGCGGTGTTAAGGAGAGAGTTCCTTGGCGTTATCTACCCTACCCCATGTTCGACGCCAGTGCCACTGTGAACGTTCACTGGGTTACTCAATAAAGTATGTGAATTGCCAGAAAATCTAATTTGTGACCAAAATAGCAGAGCTGAAAATAATAGCTTGCTTGGAGAACTTTTTCCAAATTGAAATTCATTTTCAATTCCGGACAATTCTCGTTTTAGTAAATAACTGAGCATGTGTTTTTTTCTTTTTGCGAAAATACTTAGTATACCTGGGTTTCCACAGAAGAGTCATCACATTTCTGCTGCACTAGGGTTAATTTATAGAAACTGGAATCAACATCAATGTTTTCGTTCTCTTTCAAACAAAACATGTTTTGGAAATTTTTCTTGTTGTGATGGATTTTGAAAAATATCTAGTGTTGTTTTCATTTCATTTTGAGATGTTTCTATTAAAAGCTTTTCTGAGTATCCCCTTTAAGGCTGAACTAAAATGTAATTATTTGTACATAATTATATCATGTCCCTTTTAAAACATTTTTCCAATTTATCTATTTCTGAACAAACACACATATTAAGTCACTTACAAGGATTAATATGTAAACGAAACATAAACAGTAGTCACCAATCTGACTCATTTCTCCATTCTAGAAGATGGTTACAATGAGTGACATCATTGGCTTTATTCAATAAAGAGTCTTACAGTAACATTAAATATATTACTCCCCCACCCCCTATTTATTGTTAGCTTTATTTTCTTGGTTATTTAGGTATTTTAGTTTTCTTTTCATTTTTAATTTACTTTTGAATAAAAATGTTACTGAAGTTAGTAACAAGGAAATAGTTTTTTTAATATTGTGATATTATGCATGGTGTACGAAACTTGATGTGTATTATATGTAACTACAGAGAGAGGGATAAAAAGTACAACCTTTTATTACTTGTATAATTGTTTTTAATCACAAAAAAAGTTAAAAAAACAAAAACAAAAAAAAAACATTTCTGCTAGTTAACATGGTACCATCCTTTCTTGCTCAGGAACAAAGAAAGAGATGAATAAACCCCAAAATATTGAAAATAGGAGAGTTTTGTTCTGCAGAGGATTGAACTGCACTGCAAATTAGTTAAAAGCAACTAGATTTTTTTTTTTTTTTTTAATGTCACATCATGTAATGAGCAGAACACAAAGTGGCAAGCAGAGGATCAAGGGTTAATTAGAAATCTCTGCATGGAATCCTAATCTGTATGAAATTATATTTATTTACACCAGGCAGTAATGAAATCTATTTATTACACAGCTCATCACCTCCCCGAAGATGTAATTAGCTCCTGCGGCTGTGGCGTTGAGACGAGATTGAGCAGGGCCTGGAATTAGTCTCGCTGGTTAATTTTTGAGTTTATTATCATACACTATTCATAACTGTCAGGCGGTCGAGATGTGCCTTGTAGATTCAGTCTGTCCTCCGTAATGTGCCACATGTCCTGGCAGCAAACAAATAGTTACTTTTAGACGGTATCCCGTCCTAATATAGGAAGATTAAATACGCATGTTTTATTTGCACATAAGAGTTGTGTTGATAAGGCCCGCAGATTTAGCTCATGAGTTATTTTAATTATAGCTGGACAATCTAGGTGCTTTGGGGCAGTATGTTCAAGTTTTGCTCACAGAGGTTCTGAATTTCCTCACTTATTAAAGTAACTCTTTCAATTTTGAGTAATTGAAAAATACATTGTTAGGGGCGGAGCTATGCATTAATCTGAAGCAGACACATTCTCTTACCTCTCTAGCCTTTCCAAGTGACAATGGGCAAAATTTACACTATCTGCCAAGGTTTTATGCTGCCATTATCTCCCCGTCCCAGAAACCCACCAAACGACACATATGTTAGGACATTTGAGTGTGGAGGACTGGACCAGATCTCAGAGGCCTGCTCCTCCCAGGTTTTCACATGCAGCCTGCCTGGAACTACAGATACTTACCTTGAAGGATCCTTTTCCGAAGTGATACATCAGTCTCGCAAACTGCAACCCTCCAAGGGGGGACAGCAGCAAGACATCAGAGATATTCTGCTGCAGACTGCTCCTTTGGAAATAACGGAAATGCCAGCTCACACTCACCTGCAGGAGACAGCTCTTCAGTGGAGGATGTTATCCCCCCCCCAAAAAAGGACAATAAAAACCTGCTGTAAGATGTATTAAAAATGTTCTCTACTGAGTTGCCCACTATTAAAGAGATGCTGTACTCTATTATAAATAGAGTGAGAGTTACCAAGAGGACTTATCGGAATTGGGACGGAGATTGATGTCAAATGGTTGCAAGAGGCCGCAAAGGCTATAGCACAGAGATTAGATACACAGGATGACCCGAGCAAATGGAGGAACATCAAAACCTATGGTTTAGAGGAAGCCATGTCAGCTAAAGAACTACCACAGTTTTTGAGACGCCTTGTGACATCCATCCTTACTGCCAAACAAGCAAAGGCCATTACCACCTCACCAAATTACCTAGAGCTGCCAAATGCTTAGTGATAAAACTCCTTACAGCTTTGAGGAGCATCAACTCTCTTTCTACCAAGATGTGAATAGCTTTACTCTTCAGTGGCGGCAAGTGATGGGTCCTACTACTAAAATATTGAGAGAGGCGGCAGTAGTATACTGCTGGGGATTGCCTTGAAGTCTTATCCTCTAAAAGGATGGTCTCTTTCAATAACTCTCATTACCAGAGGACTCCTCTCGTTTCCTTGAGACACTGAGGTTTTATCAAATGCCCTCAGCATCTGCAGGGACTCCCTTACCTCATGTCTGGAAGGTTGAAAAAAATACAAAAAGTAACACCTTTTATCACAAAAGGGTTAACTAAGCCTGCTGGATGAACCTGTGTGATAATATTCTCCCCAAAGAGCATATTCTTTTGTTTCTACTCAACCCTAAATCTACCACTTCCTCCCCCCCTTGGTTTCCTAGCTGAATTTAAGGTTATCATAATTTATTGAGTTTCAACTCTGTTTCATACTGTGCCATAGTTTGGCATGTTTTTTCTAACCCAAGGCTTCCATGCTTACACCCAGCCAAAGCTCCTATTACTTGAGATTTCTAGTGACAAATGTCTTTGTTAAGGCAGTGGACTAGCACCATAGAGGCCAAAAAAATATATATATTAAAATATGAGATGATTTGCATATGCCCTTGTAATTGTAGTGTAGTTCATTATTTTTGTCTCAGACATGTTGATTCTATGCTATGGACTACCACTTATAAATAAAAATTTGGGGAAAAAATATGCTTGTTGACATTTCAACAGAAACAGAAGATATTTGCACTCCAGATTGGTCCGTACAACAGCAGATGATTTTGCCCCATTCGATAAGGGGCCATTCAAACTTTAGTGAATTACCCTGAGACTTACAACTTGGCTATTATCATATATATTACAATACATTGATTAAAGAGTTACCCTGATTACAGACATCATATAAATGTCTGGTTGATTTTGGCAAAAGGTTCCTATTATTTTCTTAGGTGGATATTTTACTGTGTGTAATCCCAGTTATATTAATAAGCTAGTCAGCTAAATATTTATCATTCTGTCAGACTTTGGAAAACTAATATCTAGTAAACCAAAGCTTTAGTCTCAGAGCGTGGAACTGGGCGCGGATCCCGGCAGAGTTTAATAGCAGAATTCGCCATCTGCGTGGGCGGTTAGGCATTAATTAGAAAACCATGTATTCTGGTCTGTCAAGTACAGGGGCTACTGCCTGTCTCAATATACAGAAAATTACCTGAATACTTCCTCCAATTAGCATGCGTCCGTCCATCAGTCTGTCTGTCTCATATGCTTCATGTTATAGTATCACTATCATTATTAATCTCATACTAGTTACATTGCTGTGACAATTTATTTTAAAACCTGAATGATATACATATTTGCATATGCATTGATAAATGAAGCATAGCAAGTTTCCTGTTGATGTCGGAACAATCAAACTATGTATGTAGCAGGACTGGTCTGTTTCCCAGTTCAGGGACCAGTTCTCCTGTTACACTGCCTGTCTCTGTAGTAAATAAAGTGTATTGTAATAAGAAGTATCGGCTTAGATATTGGAACGTCTAACACCACCCCCTGTCTTTGCCTAATTCTGGGTGACATATTTCTGTCTCTGTGGTTCTTCTCTGGGAATAATGTTGAGCAGGCAACTCGTGAGTTCAGATGTGATTCTGCTAAATGATAGATTAAGCTGAAGACGTTTCAGTACTGGGCACAGCCGCCTATCTGTGCCTGACACTTAAATGAGAGTACTGCTGTCATTTCTGCATGTCCTATGTCTCTCCCAGCAAGTTCTCCAGAACTTGTCACTGCATGTCACAAAGACTCAATGTCACATGAATGTGTCACTTTACCATCACACTTCCAAAAGCTGCTAAACTAGTCCAAATCTCTGTTCTATAAGCAAGTACTACAGGAAACTTAATGTCGTGACACATAAGCACATTCTGTGAGGATATACCCTTGAGAATGATCCTCAATGTCTGTAAATGTTCTCCCAAGTTGTGCCTCTGCAGTGATATTTCAGTCAGAGGACTTCAATTATTCACAATTCGAAATCTCTAATGTGTGAGAAAGTATGAGATATACCTGGAAAAATATAATTTTGCAGTAGAACTGTGCATGAGAAAAAAAAGTTGGTTAGTCTTATATATATATTATATATAGTGATGTCGCGAACCGTTCGCGAATTTGCCGCAAACGGTTCACCGCGGTTAACTCCGGTCAGCTGACACATCCCTGCCAATCTCCAGCAGACCCTCCCTCCCAGACCCTCCCACCTCCTGGACAGCATCCATGTTGAAGCTGCCTTCAACATGGATGCTGTCCAGGAAGTAGGAGGGTCTGGGAGGGAGGGTCTGCCGGAGATTGGCAGGGATGTGTCAGCTGACCGGAGTTCGCCACGAACCGTTCGTGGCGAACCGTGGCGAACCATTCGCGGCAAGTTCGCGAACGGTTCGCGACATCACTAATTATATATATATCTTGCCATACAATAATACACTTTAGCTTCATTTAGTTCACAGATCAAGTGAGAAGAAGCGAACAATAGAGGGGGGAAAAAACTATACAGGTGATACTCGAAAAATTAGAATATCGTGCAAAAGTTCATTTATTTCAGTAATGCAACGAAAAGGGGAAACTAATATATGAGATAGATGCGTTACATGCAAAGCAAGATAGTTCAAGCCGTGATTTGTCATAAGTACGATGATTATGGCTTACAGCTCATGAAAACCCCAAATCCACAATCTCAGTAAATTAGAATATTACATGCAATCAATAAAACAAGGAGTGTACATAGAACAATATTGGACCTCTGAAAAGTATAAGCATGCATATGGACTCAGTACTTGGTTTGGGCCCCTTTTGCAGCAATTACTGCCTCAATGCGGCGTGGCATGGAAGCTATCAGCCTGTGGCACTGCTGAGGTGTTATGGAAGACCAGTATGCTTCAATAGCGGCCTTCAGCTCTTCTGCATTGTTCGGTCTCATGTCTCTCATCTTTCTCTTGGCAATGCCTCATAGATTCTCTATGGGGTTCAGATCAGGCGAGTTTGCTGGCCAATCAAGTACAGTAATCCCACGGTCATTGAACCAGGTTTTGGTGCTTTTGGCAGTGTGGGCAGGTGCCAAGTCCTGCTGGAAAATGAAGTCAGCATCCTCATAAAGCTCGTCTGCAGAAGGAAGCATGAAGTGCTCAAAAATCTCCTGGTAAATGGCTGTGTTGACCCTGGACTTAATGAAGCACAGTGGTCCAACACCAGCAGATGACATGGCTCCCCAAATCAACACAGACTGTGGAAACTTCACACTGGACTTCAAGCATCTTGCAGTGTGTGCCTCTCCATTCTTCCTCAGACTCTGGGTCCTTGGTTTCCAAATGAGATGCAAAAGTTGCTCTCATCAGAAAAGAGGACTTTGGACCCAGGTAAGACGCTTCTGATGTTGTTTGTTGTTCAGGAGCGGCTTGAAAAGAGGAATACGACACCTGAAGCCCATGTCCAGGATCCGTCTGTGTGTGGTGGGTCTTGATGCACTGACTCCAGTCTCAGTCCACTCCTTGTGAAAGTCCCCAACACTTTTGAATGGCCTTTTCCTGACAATCCTCTCCAGGCTGCGGTCATCCCTGCTGCTTGTGCACCATTTTCTTCCACACTTTTCCCTTCCACATAACTTTCTATTAATGTGCTTTGGTACAGCACTTTGGGAACATCCAACTTCCTTCGCAATTACCTTTTGAGGCTTTCCCTCCTTATGGAGGGTGTCAATGATGGTTTTCTGCACAACAGTCAGGTCAGCAGTCTTCCCATGATTGTGATTCCTACTGAACCAGACTGAGAGAATATTTAAAGCAGGGCTGTCCAACCTGCGGCCCCCCAGATGTTGCTGAACTACAACTCCCATGATTCTTTCAATTAAAAAGATAGCCAGGGAATCATGGGAGTTATAGTTCAGCAACATCTGGGGGGCCGCAGGTTGGACAGCCCTGATTTAGAGGCTTAGAAACCCTTTGCAGGTGTTATGGCTTACTTAGCTGATTAGAGTGGGACACCTTTTCACAATATTCTAATTTACTGAGATTGTGGATTTGGGGTTTTCATGAGCTGTAAGCCATAATCATCGCACTTATGACAAATCACGGCATGAACTATCTTGCTTTGCATGTAATGCGTCTATCTCATATATTAGTTTCCCCTTTTACGTTACATTACTGAAATAAATGAACGTTTGCATGATATTCTAATTTTTCGAGTATCACCTGTATATACTTATATTTTATACATTTATTAAATATATTATATATAAATACATATTTTTTTTTTACTGTTCCTCCTTTTTTTTTCTATATTGATAACTTCGTACTAGATCTGTGAGTAAAATCAACATTTGGTGGGTGTCCCTATATCCATTAATCAGCCTTTTTTTTTTGTGCCACTGATGGAACTTGGAATGATGAAACAAATGAAATGACTTGTCCGTTGTCCATTTTGTTTGTTTTAGAGTTTGGTCATATGACGATTCATAGTTGCAGAATTTGGCCAAATTGATGATTATCCAAGATTCTAATGATTTATTTATATCAAATGCATAGGTCTATTTTGCAGTATTCTTTAATGTTAAGTTTCATTTTGAGCTGGACAGAAACTCTTGGGCTTTCTTGTAACCTTGGACCTTGGCAGGTTCAATGCTAAATGCTGCAGACCTGTCATTTTTCCAGAGCCAGGAACCCATAAAAGTCAATGGTGATTAAAGTCAGTAAAGCTTAGAGAAGTTATGTGATGTTCACCAAACAACATATTTGTAAAACACTCTCTTGATCTCTGTTAGTCCACAGCAAATGCATTACTCCTCATAATAATGTAAAGTTTCTGAAAATCATAGTACTTAGAATTGCTAAATGGAAGGTCCACAGCATCTACACGAAGGTCCACAGCATCTACACGGGTAATGGCAGTCAAGAACAAGCATTAATCAGGGAACCAGAAATATTCCAAAATTAATAAAGTAGTCAGAGACAGAAATTTCAGTCCAATGCCAAGTCAAAAACAGAAATTTCACTAACAAGACACACTTGAGGGCTACCAAGAACCAAAAAAAGAGCATTGGGTTATGGAGGATTCATTTAACATTCATCAACTGAACTGCTCCATTTTGAGTCCTACCAAATAGGCCATAAAGGGAAGCAGCATGGGGGCAGTCAGTACAAGTCAAACAGAAATTTGCCGCCCCCCCCCCCCCATATGCTCTGGCCACAGTGTGACATCACAATGCCCCACCCATATCATCTGCCATATGATCCAACGCCAGTGCTGCACAAAGTGTCTTTTCTCTGAAAAGGCAGTGTGTTTACATTAAAAGGCCTGCAGGGACAGACTATAGACACCAGAACCACTAAATTAAGCTGTAGTGGTTCTGGTGACTATAGTGTCCCTTTAATGTGAGGTAAATTAGAGATTAGTGCCACTAATAATATACTGGATTGCCCACTTACCACCAGATGAGAACAAGAGGATGATGATGGGCTCAGGCTGCAGTCTGGCTCCACTGGTCTGGTGTAGAACAGGCTCTCTGGAGGCAGTGCTCACAAAAATCAACAATCAGCTCCATTTTTTGGGGCCCCTTACACAGCTCAATGTCTCGGCCCCCAGTATGCCTACAAGGCCCACCCATAAGCCCACCTACTTGGCCCACCCATAAGTTCTCTCACAGGGAGTGGAGTGTATGTGTGTAGGGGATGTCTTGTGTGTTATTGTAGAGGATGCAATGTGTGTGTGTTCTTATGGAATGTAGTGTACAGGGATACCAATTTGTGTATGGGATATAGTGTGTGTGTATAGGGGATACGATGTGTGTTTGTATGTAAGGAATGCATTGTGTGTTTCTGTGTGTGCTTGTGTGCGTGTGTGTGTGTATGTGTAAGGGATGCATTGTGTGAATCTGTGTTTGTATGTGTAAGAGATGCAAGGGATATGTTTCTGTAATATGTATGTAATGTGATGCAGTGTATGTGACTGTAAGGGATGCATTGAGTGTGTCTCAGAGATGCATTTTGTTTCTGTGTATGTGTAAGAGAAGCAGTGTGTGTGTGCGTAAGGGATGCATTGTGTGTTTTGTATGTAAGGGATGCAGTGTGTGTGTAAAGGATGCAGTGTGTGTGTAAAGGATGCATTGTGTGTGTGTGAGGTATGCATTGTGTGTAATGGATGCATTGTGTGTTTCTGTGTGCGTAAGCAAAGCATTGTGTGTTTCTGTGCGAGTAGGGATGCATTGTATGTTTCTGTGTATGTGTAAAGATGCATTGTGTATGTGTGTAGTGTGAAAGAAAGTGTTTGTGGGGTAGGATAGGGGCTGAGAGGGGAGCAAATCTTTATTTTTATTATTATATTTATTTTGTTAATAAACTTTTTTTGTATATTTTTTCTTTACATTTTGTGTCTTACACCCTCCTTTAGTTTATCTCTTAAAAGCCCCTTGTGTGCCTCTTACCCACCCCATTTGTATGTCTCCTACATCCTCCCAACCCCTTTGCGTGTCTTACTCCCCCAAGTCCCTTTGTGTCTTACTCTTCCCAGCTCTTTTGTGTGTTTCTTTTCCCCCCAGGCTCCTCTGTGTGTCTCCCTCACAAGTGACTCTGTGTGTCTCTCTCCTGAGCCTCTCTGCGTGTCTCTGTCTCCCCTTCCTCAGCCTCTCTGTCTTACACTCCGCCGTCCCTTAATGATCTCTTTCACTCCCCCATCCCTTAGTGGTCTCATCTCCTCTCCTCCCCCTGTCCCTTAGCTGTCTCCTCTTCTACCCCTGTCCCTTAGAGATCTCCCCTCCTGTCTCTAAGAGATCTCCCCTCCTGTCCCTTAGAGGTCTCCCCTCCTGTCCATTAGTGTTCTCCCCTCTTGTCCCTTAGTGCTCTCCCCTCCCCTCCTGTTCCTTAGGGCTCTCCCTCCTATCCCTTAGTGCTCTCCCCTCCTATCCCTTAGTGATTTTTCCTCCCCTCCTGTCCCTCAGTGCTCTCCCCTCCCCACCAGTCCCTTAGAGCTCTCCCCTTCTGTCCCTTAGTGCTCTTCCCTCCTGTCCCTTATTGCTTTCCTCTCCCCTCCTGTCCCTTAGTGCTCTCCCCTCCTATCTCTTAGCGCTCTCCCCTCCTATCCCTTAGTGCTCTCCCCTCCTATCCCTTAGTGATTTTTCCTCCTCTCCTGTCCCTCAGTGCTCTCCCCTCCCCACCAGTCCCTTAGAGCTTCCCCCTTCTGTCCCTTAGTGCTCTCCCCTCCCCTCCCCTCTTGTCCCTTATTGCTTTCCTCTCCCCTCCTATCTCTTAGCGCTCTCCCCTCCTATCCCTTAGTGATCTTTCCTCCCATCCTGTCCCTCAGTGCTCTCGCCTTCCCACCAGTGC